ACTGATCGATAGTTGCATAACTTACGTGTGATGAACTGATCATTTTTAGTGGAAATTTAAACAGTTTGTGTTAATGCAGACGAAAACCACAAACAAGAATAGAAAGGAGGATGTATTAACAGACTAGCAGTCAACAATTACAGTTTGGTATCCTAGTTACTTAATATTAAAAAATAAACTAAATGTAAAAAATAAAAATGAAACATTAAATCTGAGACTTCCCAACACAAAGTGTAACCGTGTTATTAAATTGCTACACTCACCCTTACCTATTATATGTTACACTTGTTTTTTGTGTGTTTGGCGTGATACACACTGTGATTGTAGCACCATTTTTCGTATTGTAAATCAATCTTTACTACCTACTGTTATTAGTGTTAATAAATGTGCTTCCTTTCTTTATCTTAACAGAAGAAGAGGGGGAGTTGCTTCTCAACCCCCAAAATAAAGTAGTGCTTTATTAAATAAATAGGGGAAGAAGAGTGTGAAGTGTGTGTGAGGAGGAGGAGGACAGGGGAAAGTAAATTGCATCTTTATTTGTGTAGCCAAAAATCTTTGCACTGGGAGAGGTGCCCTGTGAATTCAGTCTGAGAGACCGGGAAGGGGCATACCTATGGATCTGTGAAGAGATATATGAGGGGCTAGAATTGGTTTTCTGTATCCTATAGGAGTTAATTCAAAGTGCTAACCCATGAGGCATGGGTTAGCACTTTGAATTAACTCCTATAGGATACAGAAAACCAATGTAAGGACTGACAGAGGGGTGAGGTGTGAGAGGACCGACTTGAGAGGAAAATCAGTCTGGTGGCAGCCTTCATTACAGACTGTAGCAGGGCAATACGGCTTTTGGGAAGACTAATCAGGAGAGGGTTACACTAATCCATGTAGGAAATTACTAGAGCATGGACAAGGATAGCATTCATTGAGGGCTTAGTGTTTTGTTTTGAAGGGAGGAGAGGAATCGGGGTGCGCGGAGTGAAAGCTGTTCACAGTTTCATTGTTATGCTTTCCTAAAGAAGGAAGTTCTTAAAGATATTTTGAAGGAGTGGAGAAGGGCACAGCACTAGAGAAGTATTTTAGGTGAGCAGAGGTAGGAGTAGGAACAGAGGTTAGACGTAGGCCCGCGGCAGAGCAAAGGGGCATAAATTATACCTATTTGTGTATTAGTGAGAATAAGTAGGTCAGAGCAGCATTGTGTAGAGATTTGTAATCAAGTATTAGGATCTTAAATTGAGTCCTAAATCTTACGGAAGCCAATGTAGGGACTGACAGAGAGGGAGGCATAGGAGGTGCGGCCAGACAGGAAGATGAGCTTCACGGCCGCAGTCATAGACTGTAACAGGGCAAGTTTACATCAGAACAGTCACTTTGGGCACAGCCAAGTCGCTATTTAGAATACTCCTTATTGGTTGGGGGAAAAAAATAAAATCCCCTATGACTTACTTAAACCCTTGCACTGTACTGCTGAAGGAATTGTGTTAGTGTGCGCCAAAGGAACACAACACAATTAGTGCAGAGGCCCTTTTTTTTTTCCTCTTAGACTTATCTTCACTTTCACACTGGTAATAGCTGCAATAATGTTCAGAGGGAGGGAGAGTGTGTGGGTGGATTACAAGGAGTTGGCACTTCTGAAGAAGCAACAGTTCCTCAGAAACAAAACATTAAAAATAATGCAGTGATAAAAAAAAAAAAAAGAAAAAAGAAAAAAAAGTACAAAAAACATTCAAACAGATGACAAATATATTAAACAAAGGAGGCGTAGTAGAATGTCTGTGCTCATCCATGAAAGGTGCAATGTGATGGAATTTTGCAATTAAAGGGACACTCAGTTGCTTACTTTACATAGTAGATATGCCCACATATTAACCCCTTAGTGACCAGACCGTTTTTCAATTTTCCTACCATTAAGGACCAAGCCTGTTTTTACATTTCTGTGGCGTTTGTGTTTAGCTGTAATTTTCTTCTTACTGATCCCACACTACTTATATACCGTTTTTCTCGTCATTAAATGGTCTTTCTAAAGAGAACATTATTTTCATCATATATAATTTACTATAAAACAAATCTAAAATATGATAAAATGTTGACCCCTAAAATCTGTTATGCATCTACAAAAGCCAAAAAAACACCAGTGCTAAATAGTTTATAAGTGGTGTCCTCAGTTTAGAAATACCCAATGTTAACATGTTTTTAGCTTTTTTTGTTGCAAGTTATAGGGCTATAAGTAGGACATTGCGGTTTAAAAATATATATTTTTTTAAATGTATCAATAGTGACATTGTATCACTGTTATCTGTCATAAATCTCTGAATGACACCTCACATGTACATTTTTTTTTTTTTCTTTAAATAGACAACCCAGGGTATACAACATGAGGTAACCCAGTCTTTTTTTAGTAGCCACTTAGTCACATATGGCAGCTAAAGTTAGCATTTATATTTGTTTGTGTGTTAAAAATGCAAAAAACAATTATGAATGCTAACTTTGGCCAGTGTTTGTGACTACTAAAAAAAAAAGACTGAACATACCCCATTTGCAATACCTTGTGTTGCCAATCTTTTGCAAATGGTATGCCATAATGGGGTTAATTCTCATTCCTGGGCTACCATACGTTCTCAAAGGCAACATAACCAATCTGGCAAATTTCAATGTGAAAAAAAACTGCCTTATATTTGAACCTGTAACTTTCAAAAACACTAAAACTTGTTATGGTGGGTACTGTTATACTCTGGAGACTTTGTTGAACACATATTTGTGTTTTAAAACAGTAAAACTTATTACAAAGATATGATTAGTGAAAGTGCTGTGATATGTTTTACGGTTTTGAAACACTATGTGTTCAGCGCAGTCTACCGTGTAAAACAGTACCCCTTGCCCCCATTTACAGGTTTTAGTGTGTCATGCAAAGTTACAGGGTTAAATACACTGCTATCAAATTACATTCTCTGGACTTTCAGCCTAGGTTGTCAGGCAGGTCCCTCAAATTGCAATCAATAAAACTACTTAATTATGTAAATTACATAAATATGCACATAGAATTTAAATTATACATATTTATATTGAAGTCTACGTGTAGATTTATGAAATTATTTATGTAATTATGTACATGGATACGTGTGTATATATATAATTTCATTCTAAGTGTACATATGTATATATGAATATACAAATACAGTTAGAATAAAATTACATATAATTTTATTATTTTCACTTTAATTGTACTTATTTTTTTAAATATAAATATATACACGTGTGTAATTTAATTATAAGTGTATTTTTATATTAATATATAAATCTTTGTGGATCTTTGCGGCAATGTCCCTAGATGCCTTACGCGTTTTGTGAGGAGATGGCCTCACTTCATCAGAGGCTGGAATGGCTGGCAAACACGTTGGAAACATTTATACATGTGTATTAAAATTGAAACATTTAAACCAGCTGATATTGATACAATTGTATTAAGTGTATCCAAATTACATAAAATACATTGTATAAAATACAGATATCTTAGGGAGCACTGATAAAGAGAAGAAATATTAGAAAGAATTGAAAAATAAACAAAGTGAATAGAATTAGAAAATAGAAAAAAAAATTATGAGAAGAGACTTGGAAAAATTAGATCAAGAAAGCTACCTTAAAAGCCAAAATCCGCCCCCTAGTGGAGAATGGGAAATACACAATACTATTGGAGAAAATGGAGAAAAGAATATAAGATATTAGAGAGGGGGAAAAAAAAAAGCATGCGCCGCTTGTTCTGCAGTTTTCACACCTAGTTAGCGAGGTATTAACATTCTAACAAAACATTATAAATGAGGTATGGGGGTGATCCTGCGCACAGAGCCCCCCGCACGTTTACATAGCTGAAAAAAGACTTGCGTCCATCAAGTTCCACCTTCCTCACATTTGTTTTTTGCTGTTGATCCAAAAGAAGGAAAAAAAAAAACCACAAAAACCCTTCAGTGACTTTTCATGTTTTAAGAAAACTGATGTCCCTCTGGCGGCTGTCTGATAGACAGCAACTAGAAGAGGACTTAACCCTGAAAGGTAAGTATTTCATTTTATAAAAACTGCAATAATTACACTTGCAGGGTTAAGGGTGACGGGAGTTGGCACCCAGACCAATCCAATGGGCAGAAGTGGTCTGGTTGCCTGGAGTGTCCCTTTAAGGTATGCATTATTTCCATATAAAAATTGCTGCAGTTCTTTTGACAGCAGACTTTGCAATCCCTTCCCTTCTAAATGCTGTCCAGACTTTCTGTGGCTGTCCAATCACTGACTTCCCAATGCAGTTTAATAAGGCTTTGCAAGGCAGGTGCTTTGAACAAATGCCTACTTTTTCAGTTTAGCTCCACTGAGCTCAATCAACAAGACTTAACAGGACCAGTGGTGTGATTCAGTCAGGAGCTGTAACAATATAAATTAAGCCAGTGTGTCGGTCATTGAGGAGGCTTGCCCTGGTTGGGGAACGGTCCCCAAAGCAAGTTAAATCACAGGCCATCTGGAGGTGGGTGGGTGAAGAGTAACACCCAGGGAATCTCAGGACATGGCAGCACTGGAACAGAGGTAAGGAAACTAATTCTCAATATTTTAGATCCAATATATCGTGTATCTCGATGATATAGCATATGTTCAATGTAGTTGGGAATTTATCCATAGTTAAAATTAACATAAAAGGTTCACTTTAAATGGCTGGTTCATTATGCATTTTGTAATCTTTGTAGCCAATATACTCTAAGGGTTACTTTGTGAATTTGTGAGCTATTTGGCTCAAATTTTGGAGATTCTTTTTAGCATATTTCCAGTACCTTTGACTTTCATTTATCAGTACATGTATTGGTAAATAAGTAAGGAACCAAACCACCCCTAATTGTTTTGCTGCAGCTTTAGCATACAGTTAAACATTAAACAGCATGTAATAAGTTTTCCAGAACAAAGTAACATCGTGATAAAGCACATTTGAGCACTGTGGCACATAAGGAAACGGGCAGTGCTGTAATGCAAGTCATTCACGTTATTTTATTATTTATATAGCGCCAACAAATTCCGTAGCTGTACAATGTTTCTAGTGATTGGATCCCTGAGATAAATGAAAGTTATGAAACTGGCTCTGATCTGGACATCTTTGAAGGGGACTAGAGATACTGGTGTATACTTACAGAAAATACAGATTTTTTTTTTGTTTTTGATTATAACAGATACTCAATATCAAGACTGGGGAAGTCTACAAGCTTTGCACTTTATTATTGCTTGAGAGAGAATTTGTGTATACATAAAAAATGCAAAACCAATATAATTAATAGTTATTGTCCACATTTCAACATCAGACACTTGTTGAAAGACAAAAAATTAAAACAAATTATTAATCAAAAAAGGATATACTACTGCAACAGGTTCAACTAAAATGTTCAGTTTAGTATAGAAAACACCAGGTTAGACTACCTCTGGAGTGCTAGATTAACCAATTCACATCATCCCTGGCACATGTGTATCAGCTGAAAATTTCAGCCAACAGGTGAAAAAGGTCACTGATTACCAATACAGAAAAAGGTTATTGAAAACTTCACCTAAACGTTCCAGTCTGCAACCGCCCCAATACAAAAAAAAAAAAAAAAAGAGGTTTTGCAGTTTCTATGCATTTTCATTTTGAAGATATGTAAAATTATTTTCCACAAAGTGGGCAAAAACGTTCTGTAAGAGAAAAGGTAGTTTCCAGCTTTCTCACTAGCCAACAGTTAACCAATCTGAAATTCAATAAAAAAAAATTTGACAATGGAATTGCAGGTTGAGAGTCAAAATAATAGAGAGAGTTTTATAATATGGCATTTTAGTGTGAAGAATGTGAAACTTACAATAATGCAGTGAAAATATTGCTTTCCTTCCCTGGTGGATTAAAACGTCCATTGTTGGAAAGTTAGGATAGCTATATAAAAATATAAAATGCAATTACATTTATATAGAAATTGCATTTTGGATCCTTTGAACGTGTTAGAATGTCCTGCAAGCATACAATCCCAGCAGATGAGGGACTCTGGAAATATTAATACAGCCTTTTTCCAGGATTAAAACAGTGTTTATCACAACATAGAACTAGTGTTTTCAAAATTTATTTTTGTTCAGTACAATGTGAATGGATTGAAAGAGAGGAGCTTCCATTAACATGGGCCATGGGAAAGGCATAACACTACGTAACAGGAACAAAAGCATGAGATCCCTAGCTATATCCCAAAAGGATATCCCATTTCCCGGGAAGGAGATGCTTGACCCCTCAAATGCCCCATGTGGGCATACACCTAGCACTCTGGGGGATTAAAAGCCACAGTCAAGTCCGATTTATTGTAAATAATGTTCAGCTAATATAGAGGAAAGAGGAGATTCGGGAGGCTGTGGAAGAAGATGGAGAAACTAGACACCCATTGGAGAGAGGGGGAAAGTGAAAACCCACAGAGACTGGTTTCTCGGTGTAGCCACAGGAACAATTGCAAGCAGGAGTCGTGCAGGAAAACGTCATCTTGGTGATTGCGGAGTGTCACCGCAGGAGCCTGGCAACCTGTGTCTTCACGCCAAAGCAAGCACTAGGATAGGAAAAAAGCAGCAGTTTAGAATGTCATATTTGAAATAACTTTTTTAACCCCTTAAGGACTGGACTGTTTTTGCGATGTACATTTGCGACCAGGCATATTTTTACACTTTTGTGGTGTTTGTGTTTGGCTGTAATTTTCCACTTTCTCATTTACTGTTCCCATACAAATTATATATTGTTTTTTTCAGGACAAAAGGGGCTTTCTTTACATACCATTATTTATATAATCTCATGTATTTTAATTTAAAAAAAATACAAAAATCTGATGAAAAATTGAAAAAATACATGTTTTTTGACTTTTACTTGAAAAATCTTTTACTCATCTACAAAAGCGAATGAAAAAAACTGCTAAATAGATTCAAAATTTTGTCCTGAGTTTAAAAATACCCAGTGTTTACGTTCTTTTTTGCTTTTTTTTGCATGTTATAGGGCTATAGGTACAAGTAGGATATTGCGGTTTCAAAACATACATTTTTAAAATTTATCAATAGTGACATTGTAACACTATTATCTGTCATAAATCTCTGAATAACACCCCACATGTACATATTTTTTTTAAAGTAGACAACCCAGGGTATTCAATATGGGGTATGTCCAGTCTTTTTTAGTAGCCACTTAGTCGAAAACACTGGCCAAAGTAAGCATTCATATTTGTTTGTGTGTGAAAAAGTAAAAAAACTAAATTGAACGTAATTTTGGCCAGTGTTTGTGACCAAGTGGTTACTAAAAAAGACTGGACATACCCCATTTGCAATACCTTGGGTTGTCTTCTTTTGCAAATGGTATGCCATCATGGGGGTAATTCTCATTCCTGGGCTACCATACGCTCTCAAAGGCAACGTAACCAACCTGGCCATTTTCAATGTAAAAATATTTGACCCATATATTTGACCTTGTAACCAAAAATGCTATAAAACCTGTACATGGGGGGTACTGTTTTACTCGGGAGACATCGCTGAACACAAATATTAGTGTTTAAAAACTGGAAAACGTATCACAACAATTATATCATTAGTAAAAGTGCTGTTTGTGTGTGAAAAATGCAAAAAAAGTCATTTTCACTGACAATATCATCGCTGTGATATGTTTTACTGTTTTGAATCACTAATATTTGTGTTCAGCGAAGTCTCAGTAAAACAGTACCCCCCATGTACAGGTTTTAGGGTGTTAGAACGTTACAGGGTAAAATACAGTGCTAGCAAATTAAATTCTCTGGAATTTCGGCCTGGGTTGGCAGGCAGGTCCCTCAAATTGCAATCAATAAAATTACTGAATTATGTAAAAATATTACATAAATACGTTTAAATATATATGCATATTTATATATTTGAAGTCTACGTGTATATTTATATATTTATGTAATTTTGTATATGGACATATGTATATTTCTTATTATTTTTATATACATAGATATATATACAAATTCATTCTAAGTGTATTTTGATATAAATATATATATATTAATTTTAAAATACAGTTAGAATAAAATTTCATATAGCTATATAATTTTTTTTTAATTTTTATTATTTTAAAAAAATTTTTAATTTAAATTACTTATTATTTATATTTTATAATATATATACACAATCTATATAGTTATATATATTATATATATATACACACACGTGTGTAATTTAATTAGAAGTGTATTTTTATATTAATATAAGTACATATTAATATAAAAATACACTTAGTATGGCATTATATGATATATAGACATATTATATAGATATAATATATGTCTATATATCATATATACACATATATAATTATTTTTATTTATTTTATTAACACTAACATTATTTTATTTTTCTGATTTTACACTAGCAGGGAGACTGCCTGTCAGCACATGCAGTCCCCCTGCAGGCAGCACTATGGACACCTATTGTGACCATGTGATCGCTGTATTAAGCGATCACATGGCCACAGGGGTCCTAATTCAGTGTGGGGAGACTGTCTGGGCTGCAGGCAGTCTCCCCACAACCGGAGCAACACTGATCGCCGCCGGGGGAACGACGGCGATCAGGTAAGTAACGGAAACCGTTAGGACGGTTCAGGACCGTCATCGGTCCGCAATGGGGAAATCCCGATGACGGTCCTGAACCGTCCTGGGTCGGGAAGGGGTTAAATTAACCCCTTAGTGACTGCGAACGAGCAGGGTACATCCGACAAAAAAAAAAAAAAACCTGTCCTTAAGGATCACGGACGTACCCTGCACGCCTGCGGCTAATTAGAGCGCTGGAAGCGATCACGATTCTAAGGTTATTGTAGCGATGCCTCGACGTTGAGGCATCCTGCAATAACCCTCCTCACTGCCGGGCCCCCCCTCACTTTCGGGTTTCCCCACGTAAAGCCTGGCAGTGTAGTGCAGAGCACTGGAAGCCATCAGACAGGCTTCCGATGCTCTACGTGTATGCCTCGAGGCACTCTTAAAATTAAAAAGAATAAAAAAAAAAAAAATTTAAATTAAATAAAAATTAACCCCTACCCTCTCTCTCTCCACCAACCCAATCGCCACCATTGTCTTCTGCTTCACTGGGGGTCAGTCTAATAGCCAGACAGTCCCCCCTCTGCAAATACCCCCAGGGGCTATGTGACCGCAGCCAATTGTGGTCACATGGCTGCAATGTGTGTCCATAGTGCTTAATACATTTACAAAAAAAAGTGTATATACATACATATATACACACAACTATATCTCATATATAAAATACTAAGTGTATTTTGTTATATATTAATATAAAAATACACTTAGAGTAAAATTACACACGTATGTATACTATATATAATATACATTTTGTATATCATTAAAATAATCAAGAATAAACTGGTATCTTTAGAAAGACCATTTAATAGTGAGAAAAACAATATATAATGTGTGGGTACAGTAAATGAGTAAGAAGAAAATTACAGCTAAACTCAAACACATCAGAAATGTAAAAACAGCCTTGGTCCTTAACAGTAAGAAAATTGAAAAATTGTGTGGTCACTAAATGGTTTAAACCATACATATTTTATTTTATTTTTTTACTTACAGGGTTACTCTAGCCATCAGAATTAATACAGCCTGCTGTAGTGGTTATGATGTGAGGAGTATCTGGTCCCGATTGCGGGTAATGGGGCAATCTGTTTTGTAACGGTTTGCCCTTTTACCTGGTCTGGCCGGACACTGGGCCTCCAGGAACCATTAAAAAATTCAAACAACTGGGATTTGACTCCCGTATTCTAAATCAACAGATGCCACTTATGCCAAAAATATCCATTTGTTATAGTCTAGTTCCAGCTCTTCCTCTTCAAGTTATGATAGATGGTACATCCCTCAGCATCCCAGCAATAACAATAGTCCAAATTGATGCAAAATGTAATTCAAAGAATGGAAGGAACATGTACTGCCACTGCCAAAAAAATGTAAACAGTAGCGGGCAGGAACAATAATCTAAATGCCAAAAGGAACACATACAATAAACAAATGTATGTTAAATTGTTTCCACAATTGTTTTTCTTTTTTCAAAAAGATAATTGTAGTGAATGTTACATAATCTTACATGCAGGGACCTGATGAACCTCGCTTGTACCACGCAGCCATAGAGTCTGATCATTTTTGCTCTGCTTTTTGGTTCCCTTAAAACAAGAGGTCATACACTGACTTTTGTAGTAGTTTCCAATGAAGTCAGATACTTTGGTGTGCAGTAAGCTCCTTCCTCTAAGTAAAAGTAAGCATTTCTCACTGCTCCTTGCAATTAGAGGAAATTAGCTCATGGACTCTAACAAAGTTGAGAGAAACTATGCGATATTTATTTTTATATTTCTGACAAGCACGAAAAATAACCTAGAAGACATCCCACCACATACCTGTAAGTGCTTCCTGTGCAAAGTATTTGACATCTACATCTTGGTCTTGAGTTAACTTCTCCAACACTGGCTTAACTTCGTTCTGAAGGGTGCTAAAGTAATTGTGAAGTTTTAACATGTTAGAGGAGACATTTAACAGACATTGTAATGAACACACCATAAATAGCATAACACATACAACATTTACAATATGTATGAAAATGTGAAAGAAGCCACAAGTCTCTCATACCAGGAAGAGTTTACCTCACAGCATGGACTAAGGCTGGGGTTGCAAATAGTTAACTGAAAAAATATTGTAGGGATTTACTGTAAAGGGCCCTTTTGTTTACTGCATCTCTATAAATAGCCATTAGGGTACCAAGATGCATGGAAAAACAGCACTTTATAACCTGTTTCTTTTATAAAGGGACATTTTCCCAAGCAGAATAATGCTCAATAATGATTCCAAGAATAAGTTGTTATCAGTGAATGTTCCCTAATTATCCTACAGCAAGCACAAGATGAACTCACTAGGGGGAGAAGGGGGCGTATTAACAGAAAGCAGAAAAATCCACAGTAGGAGGCATCTACCGTTTTCCCCATCATTCAATTGTCAGCAAAAGTAATTTTTTGCATGTACAACAGTTTTTGAATTTTGCCAAATCTCATTATCTCTACTAAAAACATACCATAAGAATGTGTTTTGGTTTTTTTGTACCTCTCATCCAGAGTAGGTCCTATCTTTTGGAGTGACTTCGCCACATTAAATCGTACATTTGCCACAGCATCACCAGCCATTCTCACAACTGTAGGCAACATGTGTTTGGTTGTAATGTCCTGTCCACAAACCTCCGAGAGAACCTACAAAGAAAAGTCAAAAATATAGAAGTTTGTGCACTTGCCAGAATTTAAAGGGAAACTTTCACTTCAGTTTTGGATTGGATGCTTATTTAGTTGCACACTATAATTCAGGTAAGCATACACCACTAGTTTATGGTAACACTGTATTTCCAGTAGATAATGTACTCCCTTACATTGATGCAGAACAATGTGGTCATCCTATGTAGGTAGTTGGGGTCATTGGACATGGCTAATACTTTAGGGATGATGGTGGCCTGAGCCCAGTCTTTGCCAAACTTCTCCACCAGCTTCTTCAAGTTGCTTGTCGCTGCCTCTCTGATAGCATAGACTGAAGGGTGAAAGAAGAGAATCAGATGAGAATGGTTTTCAAGAATGGGAACAGCCTTAACAAGACTGTTCCCCACAAGGGAAGCAAATAATGCTTGTTATTCCTTTATTCTAAAATTGAATTCAATCAAACATGTATTCCTATGCACCTTGCAGCAGGTAGATCTCCGCGCATAAGACGGAGGTTATCTTTGAAAACACAACTAAGTTGCGCTGCGTGCCAATGAAACAGGTCTTTAAGAGTCCTAAGTGGCTATGCCTTAAGAATAGATAATTTACCACGAAAGTTACATCATTTTTGAAAGTGCAGAAAATCTGAATGTCTGTAAGATTTAATATTACCCCTAATACAGAAAGTATTCGATATACCTGCCTCGTTCTAGTTGTCATGATTATGATAATGAAAACATTTGCCTGTACCAGGTAAGAGATAAATGATCTGATCATCCATGACTTGTTTGAGAAGCTACAGTTGAATCTTACGAGTGAGAACTGCATTGCAAGATGGCGAGCAACCCTGTGGCAACCAAAAGGTTAAACTCATGAGACTTTGTAACATTTGTTAGCAACTACTTGATTTGAGAAGCACTATTGCCACCTACAATACACCTTTATCGCCCAACATAAAATGGTTATAGAAGTACACCTGGCTGTGCCAGATCCAACCCTGTGGGTATACCTGCTGTAGACTCAATTCTCTGCCCTTCAAGGTAGCCAAGGACTATCTATTCGGTTTTTACTATTTAAGAATGTATCTATACTGATAAAACAGGCACATTTTTTAAAATGTTTAAAGTTTTTGCATGCCCTTCTTTTGCCTTAAGTATAACTATTTTCACAGGTGCTGGAAGTGTCCTAAGCCAAATGGAAAACCAAAAGTCCAGGAATCATAGGTGGATCTCTAAAGACACGGTCCTGTAGCTGTATAATGAGCAGGCCTATCTTAGTCTAATTTGCATAACTGTTGCAAGTCCCTTGCATAAAAATGCTTTGCAAACTTTGGCACCGATTTAATAGGCTTTCCAAATGATTCAATACTGGTAGAAAAGTTTCCAAGTGATTTATCTACAAAAGTCATCATTAAAGTCTATTGGATTTTATTTGGTCCATAAATCATTTGTAAATGTTTCTAACAGTATTTATTTAGAAAGCTTATTAAATTGAGGCCTTTGTCAGAATGCGTATTCGGTCTCTTAAATTCTTATTTATTTCAAATTGTGAAGTTTGTTGTCTGTTTCGCAGAGTCCAAGCATTTGGATAATAAAACAATGATAAGTGCACTAATAAAAGATTCTTACCATGATCTACCAGCCAAGCCATACATAACGAATTCAACTTCTCATCAAAGAACTCCACACCCTGCACAAAAATACATTTTAATAATGACTGGAGTAAACCATTGCAACACACAATATGGTAAAAGGACTAAATCTGCTCAATATTGTTTCCAACTATATCGGTTAGGCTTGAGCTCCCGCACATGTTAATGATCTATGGAGGGAATGTATACATTGGTGGAGTGGTTTCCATATTTAATAAATCCCTGTATTACATATAAGCTATGTAATTCACAGGTCAGAAGTTCACAATAAAAAGAAACAGGATGATTGACAACTCAATCTATGTTTTAACAGCCGCAGCATTATTTTAACACATTTTGCTCTATTGCATAGTTTCTTTCATCCTAATTGCAGTGTTACGGAAAATTTAGCAGGCTTCTACAACGTTCTCAAAATAGAGCAAAGAACCAAACAGGTTGAACATACTAATAGAAAGACTGTATAATGTAAGTATAAAAGAACACAATGCAAGACTTGGGATAGCCAACAAATGACTTTTCTTTAGTGTATAGTTCTCTTTGGGTGGGTAGATGTATAAAAAAAAAACAAAAAAAAAAATAAAGTGTAGTAGGCACAGAACACTCCGGTGTTATGACATATTCATCACAGAAAACCGCACATAGCAACTAGAGTGGGAACGTTTGTTGTGTGTCCTCACTTACAGAAAAATATTACAATACAGCTTGTGTGTTTTTTCTCTTTTACATGTACACACCCATAAAGAACTATATATACTAAAGAAAACAAGGTCATTTGGTGGATACCCCAAGTCTTGAATTGTGCAATTTAGCTCTTTTATATGCTGTTAGTAGGCACTAGGGATCGACCGATTATCGGTTCGACCGATATAAATCGGCCGATATTCGGTATTTTCGGCAATATCGGTATCGGCCAATTCAGATACCGATAATACCTCCTAGGACAGCCAGGCTCATTACAAGCCCGGCGGTCCTGGGGGGGGGCCGCAGGTAGCGTTTACTTACCTCCCCTGCAGCTCCTCCAGCTCCCAGTGTAAGTCTTGCGAATCCCGCGGCCGTCAGGCACTAAGGGCCGCGAGATTTACACTGGGAGCTGCAGGGGAGGTAAGTAAACGCTACCTGCGCGCCCCCCCCCCGCCCCAGCTCAACCAATGCCACTGGACCACCAGGGACTGCTATATCCCCACTCCCTGACCAGGTAACAAGCAGGGAGGGGGGACAACAAAAATAATAAAACATAACTTAAAAATAAGCTTTAAAAAAATAAACAAATATTAAAAATTAAAATAAACATAAATATTAAAGAATAAAACAAACATTAAAAATTAAAATAAAAAAATGCCTCCCTCCACCCCATTTTACACAAATCACATGCCTTCAGGAAAAAAAAACCACACACTACAAACTGTATATAACGCAGAGTGTGTATATAGTGTAGTGTGTCTATATAATGTAGTGTGTGTATTTAATGTACACACTACAAACACTGCATCGTATATACACGCGCTACACACTATTCATTATCTGCGTTCGCTATACACACTAAACACTGCATTCACTTTACACACACACACACACCCTGCATTCCCTTTATACACCACACACTACACAAACACACACCCTGCATTCATTATATACACACACACTGCATGCATAACTATACACACTACACAAACACACCCTGCATTCATTATATATACACACTACACAAATATACACAGCTCCACTGTCTAAACACACTGCATCCAGTGCATGTGGCTTTTATATTTTGTGCATTTACCTTTTAGAAATAGTTTATTTTTTCAAAATGGTAAATGTACAGAATATCGGCAAGTTATCGGCCTGATAGTTAACAGATTATCGGTATCGGCTCTAAAAAAAAAAAATCAGTATCTGTCGATCCCTAGTAGGCACAACCTGTTTGTATTTTGGTTTTTGTTTTACAAAGGATTGAGGGAACCCCTTGTGTTCACCATTTGCTGCTGATAACGTGTTTGTGGAATTATTAGCGCTTGTCCATCTTTGCGTATATTGTTTTGATCTAAAACGTTATTTAGTAACAATATCCCCCTCTTGTGGAGAAAATGCAGATCTAGAAGTTTAAAACAAAAATAAATGAACGTTTCTTTAATTTACAAAACTGCTCAAACCTGCATGTCTAAGTGAGCGTGCAAAACAGGTCAACAATATAGGATATTTCAAATAATGGTAACTAGACCACACTGCGTTTGTGCCAATATCCTTAATATATTGACATTGTGAATGGAATAATTATAACTAGGCTGACTTCTTCTCTGGCGCTGTTCGGCGGTAATGTGGCACATATAAAACATTCGTGCTGGGTTTGCTGACTATATCGGAGGAGTAGTTGCAACTAGAGCAGCAATATAAAATCTCAGTATTTACAAACTGACAATTTAAAATCCCTGAAATGGTTATGGTGCCAGCGGGGGAGACCTAATGTGCATGTGCCGCAATGGCTGCGCGCGCTTTTAGCCTCCCCATAGGAAAGCAAGCATTATTTAAATTATTTATTGCTTTCCTATGGGGACTCCGGCTACGCTGGAGGTCCTCATGCATAGCGCGAGGACGACCAGCGTTGTTTAAGAAGAAGTGTGTTCTAAGAAGCTTGAAGTCCCTCTAGTGGCTGTCTGTGATGGGAGTTGGCACACAGACCACTCCAATTGGCAGAAGTGGTCTGGGTGCCTGGAGTGTCCCTTTAACTCCACGAAGAACAATGTTATATACAAATAACAAATAAAATATATCAACTTTGCAAACAATGCATCAACTACCTATAAAGTGAATACCTGTCAACTGCAAGAAAGGTAAAACTACTCTTTATAATTAAATAAAATATTCTCTACTTGTACATACTTTTCTTTGAGGGATAGTTTACTTCAGTTTAACTGACTAAAGGTGATGGCAAAACAGTTGATAAGTTGGTAAATTTAGTAAGGGACATGGCAAACTGGATGTAACCCCCTTTTTCTCCATTAGTCTGTGGACATATACAAAATAACTTAATGCCCTTATTATCACACATTCAAATCAGCCCCGAGCAGCTTCTATTCTATTGCATACAGCAAAAAAAGAGAAAGCCACAGAGCAATATAGAGCATATACACAAGTATTTCCTGTTCATTCTTTAATTAAATGCAACTTGTATCAGCCATACAAAGATCCAGAGATTTAGAGCAGTTGATCCTGGAAAACAATCATAGATCAGGTCTCTGACTTCACATGTACTTGTCATGAAAAGTACACCTTAAGGGATATTATAGGCACACAGACCACTTCAACTTACTGAAGTCAGCTAGATGCAGTGTCCCTGTCCCCTGTAGTGTAAAACACTGCAGTTTCAGACAAACTGCAAAGCTTACATTAAAGAGTTAAGACTGCCCCCAGTGGACTTTCACAGAGTACGGACGCTGGACATTTACACGCTTTGCATGAGGACGTCCGGCGTGTTGAAATCACGCATCCACAGGAGAGTATTGAATCAGATTAGGGAGTGTTAAGTAATTTAACACCCATTTCGATTGTTGTCTGTGTTCGGCCCATGCTCTACTTTGATTTGCCTTCCTGGTAACACAAAAAGCAGTAAATGCCTTTACACTGACATGCCCTTCTATGCATCAGTCTCTCCATTCTCATACTCTAGCCAAAGCAGGAAGTGCTTGCAACAGAGTAACCATAGTAACCACAGAGCATGCACTATGGTTGGCATGCTGGAGAGATATCTCGCAGTCTGCAGTCCTTTGTTTTTTCAGTATAGAGGTCTGTTCTGAAGAACTAATTGGTAGGGATGAACCTTTTTGTAATAAAGGTTTCTTCTAATCTATACATTTGCTAGTACAATGAAATGGAGTTTATTATAAAAAAAAAAAATATGTACACTAATCCTGGATTTTAGTCTGAATATTGTGGTTTGTGTATTTTTCTTTTTTTACTTTTCTACAAATTCGAGCAAGCATTTTTTTTAAGCTAGGTAAGAACTTCAATATGTGTAAGTAGTCAATGTTTTGGATTTTTCCTAGAAGTGAGCAAACACACGTCACTGACTAGTAAGAAACTAACAAGAATTGTGTTTGTTATTCTAACTAGTTGTCTTATGGTTGGAATATCTATATTTATAAGGAGAAATCATTTCTATAGCCATATATAAGAATGCATACCAGTTGCCCAGCAAGGAGAGGCATATATTCAATGATCGCCAGTCGCACGCGCCACTTGGCGTCTTCAGCGAGCTCCACAATAGCAGGGAGAAGTGACTGGGAGAGCTGCCTTATGCCAATGACTTCATTCACACAGTCGAGGTTGGAGATAATGTTTAGTCGCACCTCTGGACACTAGTGGAGAGAAATAAGGCATTTTACAATTGAAATAAACCAAACAGATTTAAGAAAGGAAAAACAAAAAGGGGGAAAAAAATATGAAAAGATCATTTTTTCTTGTAATACAATTATAGATCTGTAACTTAAGAGAAGAAAAATTAAGCTCTCATGAGTCTTTGTAGCAAACAAAAAGTAAATGTAATTTTGTCATTAAAGTGTGAGCTCTGGATCGTTTAAGAAGACTGCCTTACAGTAAAACATATCCCTGAACACTTCATGATAGTCATGATGAGAAGTATAAAAACCATTATAAACTTTGCACCAATATGCAAGTAATATCTCACAATACACATAGTTAAATGTAAATATGACAGGAAGTATAGCAATCCATATGAAGCTTAAAAGATTGAATACTGATATGGAACAAGTCCATAGTGTACACGGCTTAGTTCTGCCCTGCTGGAGGAAAGATATGCAGAGGTGGGGTGGGGTTTAAAGGAAACAGGGCTGCAGTGAATTTTGAAAATCATTTAAAATCTGCTCAGACATGTCTAAAGGAAAACAGCAACTTTGATATATAAACACAACAGATGTGAACTCACCTTTCACAGAAGCAGATTATGCAGTCTACCTTAATGTTTTCAGATTTGTAAATTACATTAAGCACCGAACAACAAATACAGAGACCCTCACCTCGTCTTTCAGCTGTGCCAAGAAGAGAGGGAGAAGATGTTCTATGGTGTTCTCCTTCCCCAAAATAGGTGAGAGACCCATAATGACAGAGGCCAGGGCAGATTTCACATGCTGGTTGGCGTCCGAAACAAGCTCCTAGCAGTTAACAATACAAAGTGGAAAAAAATGAATAATAAAATAGCAATACTGGTACTCCGTAAATAAAGGGCTTGTCATCTGAAATAAACAAATCAAACATGATAATTAACTACATTGTGTTAACTATTCAGCAAATCTAAAGATACTTTTTGGAATCTATTTCCACTTGCCGAAATTGGTGAAAAACAAGGCTGTAATTTGTGTGTCTTACATTCCCTCACAGCAGTGGTTCCCAAACTTTAACAAAAGAACATTTCAATGAAAGAATGCAAAGGCACACCTACTTTTTCTTTTTACCTTTATCAGCAGAATATAAAAGGACACCAAATAGAGAAATATACAAACTACCAGCCAAACTGACTTATTCGTTTTAATTGCTTACAATTATTGTGAAAGACATTTTAATGACTGTATTTAAAAATTTTTTGCTCTGGAGACAATGTTTTTGCAAAACGTTTTAGGTAGCCTGAAGCAAACTGGTTGAAAACCGCTGCTCTATAACATAACCTGATCAATAAGAAGGCATTGTCCAGAATGAACAAAAACATGGTAATCAGATGAGGAAAAAAAAAAAAAAAGGCTTTAATATATTTTTGCAACTGATCCACACCATACTATATATCCACACAAACAAAAGTATCACTTTGTAATTGTTACATAAAATAGGTTTATAATATCAAACCGTGTGGATTATTGTCTTACTATACCTATACGATAGTTCACTTCACCAAAAGGGCCTAATAAAGATTTGTTTACTAAAAAGTGAGTTCACTAAACAGTTGAAAACTCATTAAAGAATTAGACAAATTAAATGAAAAAATATTTCTACAACTCATGTTCTGCTTATTTTAGCCTGAGCTTTTCCAATTTATTGGAATTCACAGTTTAGTGAATAAACTCTTAAGGTTGAAGTTGAGTTCAGACAATTATGAATAGGTAAACATGAACAAAAGTGTGGAGAATAAGAGAAGAGTAAAATACCTTCACACATGGCAATATCTGCGTCATGATCACATTTTCACGGCAGTCAGCAGACAGGTTCTCACAAAACTCTACAAGACAAAAAACACAAGATTTAGCAAAGGACAAGGAACTGGAAAAAAAATTGATTTCTGACTAATTCCCTCAAACACAATAACAGCAAGTATTCCAGTGAGAATAAAATACATTAGGAGAGCCATTATGATTCCTACATAACGTCGTTTACAAGTTATAAATTCTAGTTTTGTGATCAGATGTTACAGCATGTAGTTTATGGTGTCCTATAAATCTGTATTTTAAGTTTAAGAAACCAGGTTTTTGTTTTTGGAGGGGGGGGGGCTTATTTATTATATTAATACAGTCATAGAACCTACATTACTTGGGCCCTAATAAAAAAAAATCCTTACATTCTGAAATTGCATTATTAATGTTGAGCCAAGACCCTACCAAACCGAACTAGTATGCTCTGTGTGACTTACCTTTAACCTTGTGGGATGCAGCAGCTCTGACCTCAGCTTCACAGTCCTTCATGAGGTTCTGAAAAGCAGGAACTAGGTCTGTCTTGGTAATTTCTGGACCAACAGCTTTCTGGAGCTAAAATGTGGGGTAATAAAATAAAATGTGTAAGAACAAGGCTCAGTTTGCACAAATATATTTAACTGGAAAAGTTAAGCAGGGATATTACAGTGTGAGATAAGTTACCTCTGTGAACTTGTCAGCCACCATGTAACGAACACGCCAAGATTTGTCCTCTGCCGCTTGGCGCAATGTAGGCATAACAAGAGGCTCCAACTCCTCCTGAGGTAAAAGCTGAGCGATATTCACACATGCTTCTACGGCAAGCAGGCGCACAGAATCCTAACAAATAAATTGAAAGCACAAATGTAGCCATGTGATTCTCTGGAAAAGGATAGAATAGTGCAAGCAACACTGCAAAAATACAGTTTAAAATTTGGGATGTCCCGAAAATAGAAATATTTAAATGTGTAGAGGGGTCAATGTAAACAGTCACACTACCTGTTCATCAGAAGCGAGGTTGGAGAACATGGGAATGATTTCACTCTTCAGATATTCCAGCTCTAAAACCTTTGCAAATTCCCCCAGTTTTGAAGCTGCTGCTCTCCTCACCATTGGAGTGTCATCTGAGCACAAGTTTCGGAAATGCCTGCACAAAACAGATTTTTTTTAGGATTACCATTTTCTTTATCGCTATGTGATTTCAAATCTAAATCTTTGAAAGCCAATATCAGGTTCAGATTTCAGGGAATCTTCAGTCCCAAGTATCTGGGTCCATGGGTTCACCTTATATTGTCCATTCCCCTTGAGTAAGGGTACATAACACTAGTAAATTAGGTGGACAGTGCTAAGAATTATTATAATAAAATCATACATACAAAGGTAGCAGCATATTTCGCAATTATGTTTCTTACTCTTAAAAAAAGGAAATAAAAGTACAATGATAGTGCAGTGTGTTATGAATAATATGGTGATAAAGATATATTCCAAAAAAAAAAAACATTTTGGTGAATTAAAGCCACTGTATTCACTAATGAACTTTGCCATTTTTAAATCACTCAGCAAAATCTCTAGTCTCGGAAGAGGGTATGAGATAGAAATGTGCATTAGTTCTTTCCAAGGTGACTGTAATGCTTAGGAGTCTGTGTTAGTAAACAAATGTGTCTTTTGAATTATAAGCCAATACAACATTGACCAAATGTTATTTTGCAGTCATTAAAGTCTACATTACAATATATGCATGTTATAATTCATTCCTTCACTACTTACTGCCGGAGTTCTGCCTTAACAGTGCTGGACACGCGGGGATAGCATACACTGAAGAGGCCACATGCAGAAGTGCGAGAGGTAAACCAGTCACCACTAGCCAGTCGTTTAACCAAAGGAACAAAATGGGCTTCCAAGTCTGAAGGGGTGTGCTCATGGGAAATGGCACGCAGAGACTCTACTGCTTTGTCTCGAACAACAGTCTCCTCCACTGTTGCCAGGCTCTCCAGCGGTGGCTGTAGGGCAAAAATCGCAGAATTAAAAAATATTCTAGTTTAATCCAAATCATTACCACTTGTAGTCTGAAAGACAACTCAGCTGACGACAACCAATAAAACCTATACATTTTAAGACCTACAACACAATAACCGAATGACTAGTCATGCGCATTCCTTTTCAGAAAAAATGGAAATTTTAAAAATATTTTTTTTTTTTCCCAAAAACAAAAAGATATCTCTAACACTATAGTACTGGAGTGGCTGTTTAGGTGTCCAGCCCCACCTTTAGATCGCAGTGAAAAAGTGAGTTTACCTTTTCTCCCTTGCCATGCTAGTCTCACTGTGGCTGTTTCAGCCTCCATGGCTGTGATCATCAGTCTTTATCTCTGCCAATTTAATGCTTTCCCTTGCAAAACACACAAAGCAGCATCTCCTCATTGAGATGAATTAAATCAATGCATCTCTATGGGGAGCTTTCAGTGCCCCTGTGCAGAACGTGGAGATGCTAAGCTCCTCTAGTCATCTGAGTAACTGCCACTAGAGAGGTTACTAGGTACTAATGTAAACAGCATTTACACTGAAAAGCCTGCAGGGACATGTTAGAAATACCAGAACCACCACATTAAAGGGACACTCCAGGCACCCAGACCAGATCTGCCCATTGGAGTGGTCTGGGTGCCAACTCCCACTACTCTTAACCCTGCAAGTGTAATTATTGCAGTTTTTTTTATAAACTGCAATAATTACCTTGCAGGGTTAACTCCACCTCTAGTGGCTGTCTAATAGCTAGAGGGCATTTCCTGGTTTCTAGCACAGGAAACCTGTGCTAGAGCGCCGCTGGACGTCCACACGCTATGTGAGGACCTCCAGTGTCGCTCATTTCCCCATAGGAAAGCATTTTTAATGCTTTCCTATGGGGAGCTCTAATGCGCATGTGCGGCAATGCTGCGCATGCGCATTAGGTCTCCCCGGCCGGTAGGCGGGGAGATACCTGCACATTTAATTTCTTAGTCTGATTTTTTACTTTTATTTTACGGATTTAAGTTTCTCTGTGTCTTATAAAGGTCTGTCTGTATTTGTTGCTGGATATCTGTACTCCAGTCATGTCTAACATCTCACTACTTTTATACAGATCAGAAACAAATTGTTATTTATAATTCTGTCTATCCTTTGAGGATGTGTTTTTTTAATGTAAATAAAAGTTGTGTTTTAATTTCTTGTGAAGCCTGTGAATTGTTTACCATTGTCCTTTTTAGCTATTTATTGGTGGTTAATTCTCCATATTTCTTTCTTCACAGTGGTAACATTATATTAGCTCTCCTTTTTCATTTTTGTTACATTGAAAAGTAAACACAATCAATAGATATAAAACAAAGTAGAGACTATTAAGTAATCTCTTGGAAATTGTGCAAAAGAGTAGTGCCTCAAAAAGCTTGTGTGACATCTTGCCATTCTTCACATTCTAGCAAGGAAGAAAATCTATTAAGGCTCTCAACGGGACCATCCATAGATACAACTTGTACATTTCAGTATGTGCTAGACTACAATCATATTTCCTGGTGGCTTAATGATGCTTGTATAAGGAGAACATTTTTAGGTATATCTCCCCTGCCTTCCAGGTTTTAACATGCAAGCATACTTGTCAGTGTGGGGTGGGGGCAGTCTTCGCAAAAATGCTAATATCACAATATTCAGTGACCGTGTTTCTTTAACCCCTTAAGGACCAAACTTCTGGAATAAAAGTGAATCATGACATGTCACAGATGTCATGTGTCCTTAAGGGGTTAGGAACACTATAGGGTCAGGAACAAACATGTATTTCTGACTCAAAAAAGTGTTCAAAACACCATATAGCCTCCCCCCCGTCACTTCACCAAGCCTTCCAAAATAAAATCTTACTTTCAGTCCAGTCTGCTGCTGCTGGATCTGCCTGCTTAGCCGACATCAGAAGTGTCACACTGAGCCAATCACAATGCTTTACCATAGGAAAGCATTGGCTTAGCTGGGAGTGTCAAAGAGGCAGATCAGGGGCAGAGTCAGCACAAGCAACACTGTGCAGCACTGATCTAGGAAGATTCTTTAGTAGCCATTTGAGGAGTGGACAGTGGAGGTACCCCTAGGCTGTAATATAAACACTGCATTTTCTCTGAAAGGACAGTGTTTACTGCAAATTGCCTGACGGAAATGATTATACTCACCAGAACAAATACAATAAGCTTTAGTTCTGGTGACTATAGCGTCCCTTTAATAATAATGCAATTAAACAAATAAGCCATACTGGATACTTACCAGTAAGCAGTGAACAAATTCAGGTCCGCCCACCAGTGTTGTAAAGGTCCCGAGCTGCTCAGCCAAAGCCAAAAGCACTTCATCCTCATCATAGATTGTATCTGCAAAATGGATTGAGATAGAAGGCATTTTCAGTAAAGTGAATAAAGGGTAAACAGTCACCTAAAACCAAGTTACACAATATTTACTTTTCATAAGAATAACGATTTATAGAGAACACCCATTGTCAAGAAAATGCTCAAGGTGGAGGAGATTGCATCTAGTATTTACACAAGCTGCCAACATTTTACAAGCTTAAAATGGAAATTTATTTACAAAATATATTTATAAAAAGTACATGAGGCGTACAATATAAAATCAATGATACACAAAAGGCTGGTTAATGGGGCGATTAAAATCCCATTTCTTTATTCTTTACATGAAAAATGAGAATGCAGACTCTTGTTTGCGAAAACTATGGATATGGTCACATAACAGTGGCCAGTATGTGTGTAGTTGTCATTTCTGTATTTTGACATCACCTGAAACAGGTAAAGTTTTACACAAATAAGTTATTGTGGAGCGTTTTTGTCTGCACACATGTTCTTGAATGATTCCTAAAAGGGGTGAATGACAGTCTACATTGATCAGTTGGCTTTTATGTACATCACCTTTCTTTTATGTACATCATTTAGCTTTCTATGTATTAATGTATAGCAAATGGGATACACCTAACAGAAGGCTTGCATAAATACCAAGAGACAAATATTATCTGCAATGAGGCATTTTATTATAGAAAAAGTTTAAATATATTCAAATGGCTTGCTACAAATACCATAGTGAATGACAATCTCCTACAAAATAGTTTTTGGGGAATTTGGTCAAATATTCATTAGATCAGCAAGTAACCACAGACAAAATAAAAAAATAATAAATTATCTGCTTTTTTTCCCGAGAGAAGCATGGATGTGCAGTTATGTCTGCATTAAACTGCTAACATCCCATTCTGGTTGGTAAAACATCAGTTTTCAGTGGGTTAGAGACCTTTCAAAAGCAGACGTTTGTCGTTTCAGTAAGCAGATATTTCTCAGTTTACATTTGATTGTGGTTATGTAAGCATTTTTTTTATATTCAGTATTTGAATGCATACATTTTTTCTTATTTTTTAGCATGGATTGTGATTTATTTTTTACACAAGATACAATGGCCAGGATGCATAGTTCCAAATACCACCAATACAATATTAGTGCATGTACTACTTCACTTGGTAATAGATGTTTTAGAGTACAATTTTTTGTGGTTATGTTTTTCCAACTGAAAGCCAAGCGCTCACAATAGATCCTTCTGGGTGCAGTCTCATCCACTTACCAGTTAGGAATGGTAGGAGCTCACTGCGCGTCCTCTCAACTCCCAGTGCCAAAGCAATAGTTGAAAGCTTTTTAATGCTATTAAGACGAAGCTAGAAAAATAAACAAATGTAGATTAGATTAAAAAATTGGTATTGTGTTCAGAAAATAAAAACGCACAAGTGAATGACTGGGAGGGGGAGAGAGAAATTAAACATTATGAGGATAATGGGCATCTCTGTCCCATTAGTCATAGGAAACCTTTGTGATACATATAGTGGAAAATGTTAAATATGACTAAAAAGCAAACATGATTTAAAGGTTTGTAGAACCCACCAGCTTGTTACTTAAGAGATAACCCTGCACACACTGGGCAAAAAAAAAAAAGATATAACTTGACATGAACAAAACAAAACACATCCACAATGTTGGATTTTTCACACAAAATGCAAAATGTAATGCTCAATCATCAAATTCCACACAAATATTTTGGAATATAATACAGGAATTACTGAGAGCTCTGTAGTTGAGGGGATTTCTATCGCTCTGTTTTCTGGCTTATTCTGAGACAGTATTGCAAACTCTGGACATTGTAAATTAGTGTGTACAGTGTAAGTCATTAAATAAAACTCCACAGGTAATTACCGGATGAACAGATTTGTTTGGGTGTAAAGTGAAAGATATGTGTTTCGTACCAGCATAAAAGAATTTGAGCACAAGTCTAGTGTCTATACGGGAGTATGCATTGTGAGCATGTGAATAAAATGACCTAATGTATAATAGCTAGTAATGCTATTTATCATTCAACCATCATACACAATCCGACTCCAGATAAGTTTCATAAACATTTAATATTGTTGGAACCTTTTCACAGTCAGAAATTTTAATTTTATTTGAGATCCAACACAAGGTATCTCCACCTTGTGTTGGATCTTGAATAAAATTTAAATCTCTGTGCAGGCCACATTAATTCATCCACATCGACTTATAAATCTCACTTTGTGTAGTCATGCTGGACCAGAGAAAAGGATTCTCAAGCTTTTGCATCAAAATTGGAAGCAACCAGTTGTCTGAAATGTCTTTCTATCCTGTAGCATTAAGGTGACCCCTTTATTGGAACTAAGGGACCTTACCCAAACCATGAATAACATTCCCAGACCACTATTTCAACTAAACCAAACTTTACAGCAGGCACTACACATTCCAGTAGGAAGAGTTCTCCGGACATCCACCACACCCAGATTCCTCCATAAGACAGCCAGATAGTGAAGCGTGGTTATTCACTCCATGTAACTCAAGTGCATTAGAGCCCACTGAAGGAATGCTTTACAGTCACCACTCAATTCGGCACGACCTGCTGTAAGAGTAGGTCTCCTCTACCACTTTGGACTGCTGTTGCTCCTACACGCTTCCACTTTAAGTAACAGAACTTACAGTTGATCTGGGGAACAAATTTCACAAACAGCCTTGTGGTAAGGTGGCATCCTGACACTCACATTGAAAATCAGTGAAATCTTCGGTATGATCCACTGTACTGCCATTATCTATAGATATTGCCTGCCTATGTGCTGGATTTGATGCACCTTTTAGCAATGAGTGACGCTGAAACATCTGAATAATATCAACACTGAGCAGCAGAGCAAACGAGGGAGGGGAGAATAAAAAAAATAAAATAAAAATAAGACCTTTTCTAAATATCTCTGAGCATCACATTCAATGCATACACGTGCCGTATGAATGCCTTTAGTTCAACAAATATCCAAGCATACAATAACTCACAATACAGTTTAAAATCACTTGCCCACACTTTCCTCACAGCACAAAAAAGAAAAAAAAAGAGAAACAAAATAACTTTATAATAGTTCAAAGTGTATAAACAGACACTTTTCAATCTGACAATTATTCACTCAAGTGTAATATTAGCAAAATCTGGACACTGTTCACACCATTTTACAATTCCCAGAATTTGCAATAAGGCTCAGAATAAACCAGAATTATTCCCGGACTTCAGTCGGTATGAATGTCACTGAATAGCTGAAATCTTGAACCGAACACTCACAATGGCCTGTATTGTTAAAATTCTGACCTGTATTTAAAACATTGGACTATCACTATTGTGACCTGCCAGGCACTGAAGATACCGCAATGATTTATTTGCAGATATATAACAAAATGGTAAAGAAAAAAATGCCATGACGAGCTAAACTTCTAATGCTTTACACCCACAACAATTCAGGGGAAAAAAAATGAACAGATGGAGCAATCCATCCTTAAATACATTTACAAAATAAATTTTCAAAACCAGATGACAGATCACAAATAAAATGCTCTGTAATTTGATGAGAAACAATGAAAGTGACCCCACTGGCAACCATCTTCAAACCAATTAAGTGGTTGTAAAGTGGTTGTCCACCAGTGACTTTTTACCTTTTTGGGAGGGACTGGGGGAGAGAGACTTTTCAAAATAAATTACCCTAACTAGGCAGTTTTAATTAGCTCCCCACCCAACTGCAAAAAAATGGCTTTGCCTTACTTGGAATCTAGTGTCAGGTCTGGATTCACTTTTGAATTTGTTGCATCTGCAATAAAGTCTAATGTTTTAAATATAATGAAAATGAATGCTCACATTAGGAAGTGATCAGCCAATCATAACCTAAAATATTTTAATAGGTTGTTTTTATAAATCCCAGCATAGCAAAAGTTTGTAGGCAGTGCAAATGTTTCTAGTTCAGGTCTCAAATTATTTACTTATGAAAGCGGTTTGTTTACAACTCCCATAAACCTTTGCTGTGTCACAAATGAGGGGTTAAAGGGTTATCCCAAGCACCATGACTACTTCAGTGATTTGAAGTGGTCATGGTGCCTGGAATCTGTATACATAGCGTTTGTAAGGAACGGCTATACATAGAGAGTTTAAACCATTTGCTGCCAGATGTTTAGAGTCACCGGGGCTTCATTAGCCAGACTGAGACAGTAGTTCAGTGAGGGCCAACGTCAATTATGTGCACATTATTATGCACAGAATGCCATTCGTTGACAGAGTGCCCAGCTGAGGCCCCAGAAAATGAATGACTGACTGGATCGGCATACGGCTTCTGCAGCTCTGCAAAAGCTGAATGCTGGTCAGCCACCATTCTGAGACCCTCGGCACCAAGCTAGACCGGGTAAGAGGGCAAACCGCTGTAATCAGTAATGTGGGCTGTAGTTATGATGGTTGTGGTAACCATTAAGGTACAGAATTCTTCATTTTTCTGCTTTGATAAAAATTACAAAACTGAGAAAATGTAATTTAAGCAATACACTATTAAATTCATAAAGGTGTTGATGCCCGGGATGTCCCTAGAAAATGTAATAACATTTCTTTTAATTATTAATAATTATTAGTTTTGCCCCAAAAGCCATCCTTCCTTTCCCTTTTTTCTCTGATCCTTTTTATTTCACTGCCAAAATACTGACTTTTCTTTTAATGTTCATGTGTTCTTAACTTCCAGACTTAGAATTATTAAAAGTTTTCAAAAGAAAGTGCCTCTAATGACAGATGTAAACATTGCCGTTTTTCACAAATCAACTACAATAAAGGGAATCTAAAGTGTTAGGAATACAAATCATCTAATCACTCACCCAATTCCAGCGTATATGTCCCTCAGCTCTGGGTTGCGCTCTGTCTACACTGATGTCATCCAACGATGGGATCCAACTTGCATGCACAGCAAGTGCCATCAGCACATTAGACCTTCACCACAAAGCATTGCCTTATTGCATTCCATTGGGTTCTCTCTGATGCTGGATGTCCACTTGCAGAGCGTGAGGACATCCAGTGTCGTTTCACGGAGTCAAACTCCATGAAACTCTAGAAAACTCAAAAACTGCAATGTTTTACAGACAGGGACAGTGCAGCAAGACCACTTCATTTAGATGAAGTGGTCTGGGTGCATATAGTGTCCCTTTAAAGGACCACCATAGTGCCAGGAAAACACTCGTTGGCGTAGTGCTGAATGGGGAGGAAGAGGTTTATCCCTTACCTTTTTCCATCGCCGGGCTCCCTCGGCGCTGGGACTCTCCTCCCTCTTCTTCTGTCATCGGCTGAATGCGCATGCGCAGAAAGAGCCGCACACGCATTCTGCCATTCTCAATGCTTTCCAGCATGTGTCCGGTATCTGTGTATGCGGGGCAGTATGTCCAGCGTCCTGTACCACCCAACCCAACTCTTAGTATTTTGAACGGATACAGCACTTGTGTGTGAGGGTGAAGATTTTGTCCCATTCCTATGTGGGGAGAGTTGTCCCAGTGTCCCTTTCCCATTTGCTTGTGTACCCTAAAAGGTCTGTCGCTTTTTGTCAAAATCGTGAGCATGGAGTATAGGATCAAAATTCCCCGGGAGAGGTGCGTCTGAGTGGTGAAGTGGTGTTCTAAGCTTCTTAGTGACCTATGCAAATGCCCCCTTACTGGTAGAGACTGGTAGTAGATTTTGAGTTTGTGATAGTGGAAATGTTCAATTATGGTCTGTCTGCTGTCTGGGCAGAGCTCTGTCAAAGTCTTAGGTCTGGTAGAGTTGCACCAATGGTGCAAGTACAGTCGGATCGTTGTAGGCCAGACATATCGCCTGGGGTTGAGCCATCCGCTAAGTCTGGGTTATTTGTGATAGGTGTGAGGGAAGTGGTAAGCTGCCTTCGGTATTGTAGGGTAAATCACGTCCCCAGGGTAGCATCAATCATAGGGTTTTTTTTTTGCGTAAGGCGCCGATCGTAGTATTGCCCAGCCACAACCTGGAGGGGATAGTCCATAGGTTTTCCAAGAAAGTCCATGAATTTTCATAGGGTGGTGCATGTGCAGCACCGTAGTATGTTTCGATGGAGGGGAGGCCTGTACCGCCGGCAGCCTTTGGGAGATGCAAAATGGTTTTTCTCATGCGCGTAGGGTCCATACAAACCTGCGGATGGCCTTCGTAACAGAGCTAAAGATAGATATGGTTATTGGGATGATCTAAAACAGGTATAATATCCTGGGAAAGATGTTCATTTTGACCGCAATGATGCGGCCAAACCCTGAAAGGTATTGTGGGTGTCCATTTTTGGAGGTCTGCTTGCAGCGACTGGAGCAATGCGAGGCAATTGTGTTGATAGAGCTGTGAGGTATTTCGGGAGCCAGATTCCAAGGTATCGGTGTTTGGCATCGCACCATTTAAAATGGTACTGTGTGCGGAGTCATTGCATGGGCTGGGGACAGGAGGAGCGCCTCCGATTTATGCATGTTGAGCTTTAGATTGGAGATCGCTCCAAATCGTCTGAAGGCCACCAGGAGATTGGGGAGGGAGACTGTTGGTTGTGCAAGGAAGAACAGCATGTCTTCCGTGTATGCTGCGATGCGGTATTCTCTGCGTCCTAGGGTGAACCCCATAATGTCCCCATCCCGTCTGACCGCCCCCAGGAAGGGTTAAAGGGAAAGGGCAAACAGGAGGGGGGACTATCAATAGCCTTGATAGTGTTGTCTCGTCCTTCTATTCCAGGTATGAATCAAACCTGGTCCGAGTGAGTCAGGGAGGAATTTTGCAATTCGCAGCACCATGACCTTAGCGAACAGCTTTAGGTCCGAATTAAAAGACCACTATAGTGCCAGGAAAACAAACTTGTTTTCCTGGCACTATAGTGTTAATAGGTGCCCCCCCCCGGCCCCCCGCGCCGTGCTCCAGAGGGAGGAGGGGATTAAACGTTTACCTTTCTCTAGCGCTGGGGACTCTCCTCCCTCTTCCGACGAATGTGCATGGCACAATTGCCAAATTAAAATCAAATATATAAAATATGGATCCATATTTTATATATTTGATTTTAATTTGGCAATTGTGCCTAAAATAAATCAACTTTTTTTTTAACATTGTTGTATCTGGAACCTGATTACATCTGGAGCTACCCGAGTCTGTTAATTACCTGCCATCCTCTACGGTGGAAGCAGTCCACCTGAGCCTGCTCTATAGTTAGTGACAGGTAGGTCCTGCCATTCAGACTGTATGCGGGCTCTATAGTTAGTGACAGGTAGGTCCTGCCTTCAGATTGTGTGTGGGCTCTTTATGAGGGGGTGACAGGCAGGCCCTCTAGAGAGTAGATAGGCCCTGACATACCCAGGGAGCATGCAGACTGTGTGTGGGCTCTCTATAGTGAGTGACAGGTAGGTCCTGCCATTCTCTGTGTGGACCCTATGAGGGGGTGACAGGTAGGTCCTCTAGTGGGTAGGTAGGTCCTTCCATTCTCTGTGTGGGCCCTATGAGGGGGTGACAGGTACGTAGGTTCTGCCATTCTCTGTGTGGGCTCTATGGGGGTAGGTCCTGCCATTCTCTGTGTGGGCCCTATGAGGGGTGACAGGTAGGTAGGTCCTGCCATTCTCTGTGTGGGCCCTATGGGGGGGTGACAGGTAGGTAGGTCCTGCCATTCTCTGTGTGGGCCCTATGAGGGGGTGACAGGTAGGTAGGTCCTGCCATTCTCTGTGTGGGCCCTATGAGGGGGTGACAGGTAGGTAGGTCCTGCCATTCTCTGTGTGGGCCCTATGAGGGGGTGACAGGTAGGTAGGTCCTGCCATTCTCTGTGTGGGCCCTATTGGGGGGTGACAGGTAGTTCCTCTATGAGGGTGGGGGGTAGGTGGGTCCTCTCTGAGGGGGTAGGTATGTGGGTAGGTCCTCTATGAGGGGGTATGTAGGTAGTGGGTACGTATGTAGGTAGGTGGGTATGTAGGTGGGTCCTCTATGAGGGGGTATGTATGTAGGTGGGTAGGCCTTGCTCTCCCCAGGGAGGCCCCAGCAGTGAGTGCAGTCCCGCCATTAATCCCGTGTTTCCCCCCTCCTCCCCCCCGCACGGTGCCGGTCGCAGCTCGCTCGGTTACTCCGTCTCACCTGAACATCTTCGTTACGCAGCTCGTCGATGAGCACGGCAATAGGATACAGCGAATCGTCGCCATCGGCCGCCGCCATCTTGTTCTTCCTGTCTGTAGAATGAAGGGGGCGGGGCGGGGACTCCCAGGCCGTAATGCAGGGGCATGGCCACGCCCCCATCGCAGACGTCACGATATAAACGCCACACACCGGCGGGCTGTTTATGGCAACGAGCCTGGCTTGTGTTCCCTGGGAGACAGTCAGTGTCGGGCGCGGGGTAATGACGTCACGCACGGAGCCAATACGCCGCCATGTTTGTAGAGGCAATGTCGGGTTTAACACATTGACCTCTCTTACATGAGATTTTCACTTAAATGTAAAAACTGTCAAATCCAGCTATTCACATGAAGTTTAGTAAATATACCACACATTTCTACAGGACTATTCATTAAAGTGTGCTTTATCCTCAATTCACAGGAAATTTACAGTTTTAGGCCCAAATAGCTGCACTACAGAATTAATATTATTATTATTAATATTATTTTAATATTATTGTTATTATTATTAATATTATTATTATTTTAATATTATTGTTATTATTATTAATATTATTATTATTTTAATATTATTGTTATTATTATTATTTTAATATAGCTAATAGGGTTTTAAATTAATTTGGAATTACTGGCATTTAACACTTTTGTAGAAATTAGAAAAATATTTTGCTATTTTCAGTTTGGCTATTTTAAAGGTAAAATATAAAATTAACTTTATATTTGTTGCTATTCACACTCAGGCATTTTAACAATTTACATCTGAATCTCAGAATTTAAACCGACAAGGGTGTTAATTAAATTGAGAATTCGTAGTAAATTTCATATTTAATGTAAAACCTAGCTGAACTGGAAACTTTGTCTTAAAGGGCTATTCGGTAAACTGAGAATTGTAAATGTACGGCCAAAATCGCTTAAAGGGAAACTGTAGTGCCAGGAAAACAAACTTTTCTGGCACTACAGCTTCCCTTTCCCTCTTGCCAAACCCCAGCCGACAGGGGAGACCTGATGTGAATGGGCATGCGCGTCCATGACTGCACTCGCATTAGGATTTCCCCATAGTAAAGCACTGAATAATAAAAAATGCTATGGGGTTTTGGGTGACGATGGACGTCCCCATGCATAGCGGAGGGTCCGGATGGTGACGCAAACCCTAGCAGGTAATTATTGCAGTTTATCAAAAACTGCAATGTTTACCTTTGCAGAGTTAACCCCTTTACGACCGTGGACGGTTCGGGACAGTCATCAGAAAAATCCCCTTGAGGACCGGTGACGGTCTTGAACCATCATAATGGTATTATGTACTTACCCGATCGCCGTCGTTCCCCCGGCGGCAATCGGCGTTGCTCCCGGTGTGGGGAGACTGCCTGACAGCCCAGGAAGTCTCCCCATGGCGAATTAGGACCCCGCTGCCACGTGATTGCTCAACAGTGCGGCCACATGGCCACAATAGCTGTCCAAGTGTCTGCCTGCAAAGGGGACTGTCTGTGCTAAGACGCAGTCTCCCTGCAAGTATAAAATAAAAATAAAAAATGTTAATAAAAAATATAATTATAAATGTGTGTGTGTGTGTATATATATATATATATATATATATATATATATATACAGTTGCAAGAAATAGTATGTGAACCCTTTGGAATGATATGGATTTCTGCACAAATTGGTCATAAAATGTGATCTGATCATCATCTAAGTAACAACAATAGACAATCACAGTCTGCTTAAACTAATAACACACAAAGAATGAAATGTTGCCATGTTTTTATTGAACACACCATGTAAACATTCACAGTGCAGGTGGAAAAAGTATGTGAACCCCTAGACTAATGACATCTCCAAGAGCTAATTGGAGTGAGATGTCAGCCAACTGGAGTCCAATCAATGAGATGAGATTGGAGGTGTTGGTTACAGCTGCCCTGCCCTATAAAAAACACACACCAGTTCTGGGTTTACTTTTCACAAGAAGCATTGCCTGATGTGAATGATGCCTCACACAAAAGAGCTCTCAGAAGACCTACGATTAAGAATTGTTGACTTGCATAAAGCTGGAAAGGGTTATAAAAGTATCTCCAAAAGCCTTGCTGTTCAGCAGTCCACGGTAAGACAAATTGTCTACAAATGGAGAAAGTTCAGCTGCTGCTACTATCCTTAGGAGTGGCCATCCTGTAAAGATGACTGCAAGTCACAGCGCAGACTGCTCAATGAGGTGAAGAAGAATCCTAGAGTGTCAGCTAAAGACTTACAAAAGTCACTGACAAATGCTAACATCCCTATTAGCGAATCTACAAGATGTAAAACACTAAACAAGAATGGATTTCACGGGAGGATACCACAGAGGAAGCCACTGCTGTCCAAACCAAACATTGCTGCACGTTTACAGTTTGCACAAGAGCAACTGGATGTTCCACAGCAGTACTGGCAAAATATTCTGTGGACAGATGAAACCAAAGTTGAGTTGTCTGGAAGAAACACATAACACTATGTGTGGCGAAAAAAAAAGGCACAGCACACCAACATCAAAACCTCATCCCAACTGTGAAGTATGGTGGTGGGGCCATCATGGTTTGGGGCTGCTTTGCTGCGTCAGGGCCTGGACGGATTGCTATGATCGAAGGAAAAATGAATTCCCAAGTTTATCAAGACATTTTGCAGGAGAACTTAAGGCCATCTGTCTACCAGCTGAAGCTCAACAGAAGATGGGTGTTGCAACAGGACAATGACCCAAAGCATAGAAGTAAATCAACTACAGAATGGCTTAAAGAGAAGAAAATACGCCTTCTGAAGTGGTCCAATCAGAGTCCTAACCTCAACCCGATTGAGATGCTGTGGCATGACCTCAAGAAAGCGATTCACACCAGACATCCTAAGAATATTGCTGAACTGAAACAGTTCTGTAAAGAGGAATGGTCAAGAATTACTCCTGACTGTTGTGCAAGTCTGATCTGCAACAACAGGAAACGTTTGGTTGAAGTTATTGCTGCCAAAGGAGGTTCAACCAGTTATTAAATCCAAGGGTTCACATACTTTTTCCACCAGCACTGTGAATGTTTACATGGTGTGTTCAATAAAAACATGGCAACATTTCATTCTTTATGTGTTATTAGTTTAAGCAGACTGTGATTGTCTATTGTTGTTACTTAGATGATGATCAGATCACATTTTATGACCAATTTGTGCAGAAATCCATATCATTCCAAAGGGTTCACATACTTTTTCTTGCAACTGTATATATATATATATATATATATATATATATATATAAATATAATAACTATATATATTGTATACATATATTATTATAAAATACAAATAATAAGTAAATTAGAATAAATTAAAAAACGTAAAAATAATAAAAGATAAATTTAAAAAATGCATATATAAATATGAAATTTCTTTCTAACTCTATTTTGATATTAATATATATATATTTTTATATCAAATTACACTTAGAATGAAATTATGTATACATATATGTATATATAAATAAATCAAAATAATACAAAATAAATATATATATATATATATATATAGCCATAAACAAAGTTACATAAATAATTTCATAAATATACACGTAGCCTTCAAATATATAAATATACATATATAATTAAATTCAACGTGTGTATTTATGTAATATTTTTATATAATTAAGTAATTTTATTGATTGCAATTTGAGGGACCTGCCTGACAACCCATGGCGGAAGTCCAGAGAATTTAATTTGCTAGCACTGTATTTAACCCTGTAACTTTCTATGACACCCTAAAACCTGTACATGGGGGGTACTGTTTTACTCGGGAGACTTCGCTGAACACAAATATTAGTGTTTCAAAACAGTAAAACATATAACAGTGATGATATTGTCAGTGAAAGTGACTTTTTTTTGCATTTTTCACACACAAACAGAATTTTGAAATGATATAATTGTTGTGATACGTTTTACTGTTTTGAAACACTAATATTTGTGTTCAGAAAAGTCTCCCAAGTATAACAGTACCCCCCAGGTACAGGTTTTATAGTGTTTTGAAAGTTACATGGTCAAATATAAGGGTCAAATATTTTTACATTGAAAATTGCCAGGTTGGTTATGTTGCCTTTGAGAGCATATGGTATCCCAGGAATGAGAATTACCCCCATGATGGCATACCATTTGCAAAAGAAGACAAACCAAGGTATTGCAAATGGGGTATGTCCAGTCTTTTTTAGTAGCCACTTAGTCACAAACACTGGCCAAAGCTAGCATTCATAATTGTTTTTTGCATTTTTAACACACAAACAAATATAAATGCTAACTTTGGCCAGTATTTGTGACTAAGTATCTACTAAAAAAGACTGAACATACCCCATTATTGAATACCCTGGGTTGTCTACTTTAAAAAAGAAAAATGTACATTTGAGGTGTGATTCAGAGATTTATGACAAATAACAGTGTTACAATGTCACTATTGATACATTTTAAAAATATATATTTTGAAACAGCAATTTCCTACTTGTACTTATAGCCCTATAACTTGCAAAAAAAAGCACGTAAACACTGGGTGTTCTTAAACTCAGGACAAAATTTTGAATCTATTTAGCAGTTTTTTTCATTGGCTTTCGTAGTTAAGTAAAAGATTTTTCAAGCAAAAGTCAAAAAAAATTTTTTTCAATTTTTCACCATATTTTTTTTTTAAAGTAAATTATATGACATCATACAAATAATGGTATGTTAAGAAAGCCCTTTTTGTACCAACAAAACAATATATAACTTGTATGGGAACAGTAAATGAGAGAGAGGGAAATTACAGCTAAACACAAACACTACAAAAGTATTAAAACAGCCCTGGTCCTTAACGTACAACATGGCCAAAACAGTCCGGTCCTGAAGGGGTTAAAGCACCTGGGATATTGCACCCAGACTACTTCACTGAGCTGTAGAGGACTGGGTACCTTACTAAATAACCCTGTAAGTCAGCTATGCATCCAATTCGCTTACTTTGCCCTTATTTTTGAATTTCTCACTTTAGTAAATAACTCTTAAAGGGACACTGTAAGCACCCAGACCACTTCAACTAATTGCCCTTAGTGCTGCAATGTTGAACATGATTACATTGCAGCACTAAGTCAGCCTC